AGGTAACTGAATACCATAGTTACTGTGCAGTGCTGTAACCGCCTTTTTCAGAGCTGATGGTGGAAGGGGAGGGGAAAGGGTTATCACTGCAGGATTCTTCCCTTTTCTTTTCTTTTCTTTTTTTTCTTGAGGTTTTGATTTCTGATCACGGTGCCTGCAGAAAGTACGGTATCGCAATGTTATCATGATTGTTTCTTTTTCTTTTTCTTTTTCCCCCCCTCCCCATCGTCATAATTTATCTATGATACCGCCAGCGGGTACTACAAGTATACAATGGAGATTAATTGGCGGGTTTGTCCAAATAAATGGATTTTCTTTCTTCCTGTCCTGGATCGATGGGATTTTACTCTTTGTTGCTTTTGGATATGTGGTGTTGGGTTGGTACAGTACCTGATGGGAGATATATATATATGATACATCGCTGCCCTGGGCTTGTTAGAGCACCGTAAGGAGAGGACTGACTGACTGATTGATTGATGGATCCAGCTGCGCACATCCGCGTCTGTCCATTTCTTTGGGTACGGTAAGGTTGACAGTGTCATTATCGCGAATCGTACTTTGCACCGCACCCATTATGCTACCAAATCTTATTTATTCTAATTTCATTCCATGCAAAGTTTTGAACATACCCCTTCCATTCTATCCACCAGCTGAATAACAGTTTAGTACTCGTTCAGTACTGTATCCAAAGAAAGCATTCCTCTTTAAGCACCGTTGCGATGGGGGAAGCAGGATAGGCAGGATCACCGTACGAGAGTATTTCCCTGGACGGTAAAACCCCCAGCAGTGCAGTTTCGCATCTGACCTCATCGACTGCGAGTAATTTCCGAGAAGCAAAGAAAGAAGGGAAAAAAAGAAGAAAAAAAGAAGAAAAAAGAAACTCCCTAATGGCGAGTCTGCGGGGGGAGAGGGGAGGGGATGAAGGGGAAATAAACAACTTATCATACTGGCACGGTGGAGGGGATATCATAACTGTGCTGTACCTCTCGTATCGTATTATAGTAGGGCTATCATATACCCTTCCTTTAAGATCCCGGGAATACCGGTACAAGTATGATATTATATCACACCTTCCTCTTGCCGGTAGTGATACTATTTTATTTATATATAATATTATTTGTTTATTTCTTTATTTATTTTAAAAATACAGCACTACAACACAGGATCAGAAACAACCCGCTCCATCCCCACTTTCTGAACACACTTTCTGCAGAGCCTGGAACGAGGGTATGACACCGCCTTGTGATCGCGCCTCCCCGGCACGATGCCTAATCTCCACCCTTCGCAGCCTCTACCCGTAGAACGACGCCTTTACTCGAGTATAGAGCGTTTAGAGCGGCACAACGATCCCGCGACCGGGAGTGTGGAGATTCGATAATCTTTTTCTCCGCCGTCCATTTTTTTTTTCTGCATTACGGTAGTTATCGATCTTACGGTACCGCATCCTACTTGTAATGTCGAAGGGCGGGTTGGGTGGCATCAAGCTGAAGAGAAGGGCATCGGCTGATGGTGTCAACATCATAACCGCAGGCGGGGGGGGGGGGTATCATAACGAGGCTTGTTGTATCATAGGATGGGTAGGTATTGTACTTGTAGTGCACTGAACCGGTATTCGTAGGTTACTCGTAGTCCCCGAGCGTTTGGAATAAAGTTCCTCCACATTAGCCAACCAGTTATAAGTTAATACTGCGACAGCCGTTTTTTTTCCTTTCTTTTTTTTCTCATAAAGTCTCCGGAATGGCATACGAATCGAGGATGCCTTCAGTGGAGACAAGAGCTTTTTTCGGGTTACCGGTAGTACGAGTACACCCCTTGACCAACAATCCCGGACTGGATATGGCACAGATACAGTACAAGCAAACGTGGGGTCCGGAATGGGGAATCATCATCTGTCCACCTCTTGCGGTGTGATCTCATACCCGCCATGTTATCGATGATTCCGTGTCTGCCGGCACGATAGTAGCGAGTAGGCAAACAAATAGCCCGCTCTCTTGAGCACTGCTGTGCGGGCGCCCGGGTGCCTACCGGTGCGGAGTGTCTCGCTTGACTTCCGGGATTGGAATGTGTTTTTCGGCCCGGGTGCGCTTGTGGACTTTGGGTTGCTATGTACGGTACCGTATTGCTCTGTGACCGCCTTTGTAGAGTACCGTATATCCGTGAGATTGGGTGGTGGAAAATGTACTCGTATGTGGGCGATGTCTGTAACGTGACCAACAGGTAGGGGTAAAAAGGTGATGAAGCGGGACGCAATAAATAAATTTAGGGTACGAGTACTTGTACAGTAGGCGTGGTAGGCTGTCACTCACGCCTAACCGAGAAGGGAAGAAGCCAGACTATCCAGGAAATACACATGCCAAGAAATTCCCAAACAGGAGATTCAATATGGTGAAGTATCATCATAGTCCCACCAACATGACCACAAGAGATTAAAACCTACTCATAACCCATCCGCACTGACGCAGAAAAGTACAGTAATTTACACCAAGCACCACATGACACCACAATCCAACCCTGCTAATTACCGTATATCATACAGTAGTACGGAGTAAAAAAGGCAGAAAAGCGACCACATAGAATAAAATCCCACAGGCACGAAATATTTATTCACCATTTTACCGGATATCATACCCATAACCGATGCTACCCCTTCCCTTCCCTTCAGTTATGAGTGCATGCACCTTGCACCTCCCCCCCCCCCCACAAAATCCCGAAACCCGGGCACGGAATCGGTCGATTGTCAGCCCACATTACGCATGGCGGAGCAGTTGATCCTCCCTCCCTTCCTCCCTTCCTTCCTTCCTCCCTTCCTCCCTTCCTCCCTCCCTCCCTCCCTCCAGTCCGCACTTTTTGCCGAAAAGTACATAGCCGAGGGTTTAGTGCCTACTTAATTTGTGGAGTAGAGTATCATACTAGGACTGTAACGGGGTCGTATCATAGCGCGCGTAGTACCGCATACGGTAGTTTCTTTTCATTTCTTTTTCAACAACGCTATCATCCTCGTCTCGGATGGGGGAAGGGGGACGAATTGGTTGATCGTGAGGGGGGTGGGGTTACAGTTACAGTTACTGTACGGGCGTTGTATCAACCCCACGTGGTAAGTCAGGGATTGAAGGGGGGGGGGTACTCGAGTATCATATCATCCTAGTGGTAAATAGTCTAGTGGGGATAATAGTCTAATGTGTGGAGAATTCACATCCATGATATTTGTATTATATTGTGTGCTCTCCCCGGACCCGATTCTTTCCCCTCTTCCTCCTCCCCCAGACGTGTATCCTTTGTGTTTTCCTGCCTGTCCACATCCCCCCGAGCCATATCCTTGGTAGCTTCTAGGACGAGGATGGCTAAGAACCTGGGGACTCAGCTATCATAATATTATCGTATCGTACTTCCCCAACCCCCCCCCTTCGCCCTTCGCCCGCCCCCGCACGTCGGCGGGGATCACTTCCCCGCTTCGGGATGTAAGACTCCCGAGCAGGGCACGACATGTATGATATCAGCAACGCACAGTGGACGGGAGCGAGGACACCTTTATACTTGGCCGTTGTATCTTGCCATGGGTAGGAATGTCAAGGGGGGGAGAATAATCTCATGAAAGTGTACTCGAGTACGAGTACAACACTAAGTTTCAATATTTATCCCTCGATGGAATGTGAATGGGGTTTCCCAGAAGGATCAGGTTATGATACATATCATACAACAGCGGCGGCCCCCATATGATAACATCATATTATCATACAAACATCTCCATGGCGAATGACTACATACATCACGGTTTATCCAGGGTATAGGGTACGCCCCTGTTCCTGTTCCTGGGGTTTTCCCAAAAATGTTGGTTCATCATATGATACCATGTCATATCACTATGTCCCCGCCGATCGAAATTCTCCGGGTAAACGCATTCGGCTTCATCCCCTGCGGCGTATGATTATCATTTATATGTGATATGATATCGAAAAGGATTCTATCATATCCCTTCATGGACTTGAAGCCCAGGTACCCACCCCACTCTCAACCCATAAGCGCCTAGCGTACCCTACCCTACGCGCAATGCCCCTTGCGTGACGGCCCGGCCTGGAATGGGGCTACAAGCACATCTCCTTCGGCGGCGATCCAGCCAGCTAATGTGGCGACGATCCGGGCGGGACCTGAGCGCTAGCGGCGGCAGTGTCCTATCATACCCGATCTGGTCCAAAACTGCGGATGCGACACGCCGGTGCGGTTACAAAGACCGTTTGGGGTATCATGGCTGAAGGAAGTGGAGTTCTATGAAGGGGGCGTCTAGTTCTATCCCCCCCATAACCTCCACGAGCGGGGTTCGGAACGAGTACTACTACTCCTCCACCGCCAGACATCATGCAGAAACCAACCATCGGTGACGTGGGGGGGGGGGGGCACCAACCGGGTTACGTTAGCAATATAGTACTGGATATACCGGCAAATAGGCCACCACCACCCACCGCACGAATACCACCGGCGGTATGATACCGCACCACAATCAAACACCAACCAACCAACCAACCAATTAAACCCTTCCTCCGCCAGCATTTTCCGAGTGACTGTACATGACGGGCGGACCCGCAAATTACTTGCGATTTATCGGTACCACCAGGTTACCTCCGATTGGCCGTCCGTCCCTCCGTCCGCCCCATTCTGCACGGTGGTTGGGGTGTCATGCCCCGGGCCACGATTGGTTATCACAGGTGTGCAGAAACAGGATCCCGGCGCCCGAGGGATCGCCAACAGGGGTTTGTGCTGTACGAGTACGGTACAGGTAAATTATTATCATACAGTACTCGTACGCGAGGGAGGGAAAACGAGGAACCGCGGAGCAGCGCCCGGCTGTCCCCCCGACCCCCTGGAGAAGTGGGGGAAACTCAATTCAATGGTGGAACTCTTGTAAGGAGAGCCTCAATAACTTTGTATAGCCAGGCTGGTAACGCGTCCCGCTCGCATAGTACCGTTCCCATCCAGCTTCTCGTGCAGTCTTGCCCATCCGCGAGAGCAAGAAGGGAGGGGAAGGGCAAAGGATCCATAGTTCGACTGCGTGAGGGCATATATTCTCCATCTGATCTCATCTCTCTCTTTCCCACCTCGCTCATTTAGAGTACAAGAAGAGAACCCTGAAAAAAACACCCTATCTAGCCCAAGGAGATTTCTCCTTCTCCAACCACTCCACCTCCTCCTTGGTGTTCTCCCTGCCCAGTGCCTGATTTCTATAAGGATACCTTCCAAACCTCTTGATCACCTCCGTATGCGACTTCAGGAATTCCTCCGTGGAATTTGCCAGTTCCTCCCCCGGCCCACCCTTGCAATCCCTGATCAGCTCTTCGTGCAGCTCCTGCGCGTGTTGGTGGGCGCCTAAATCTTCGGCGTGCTCGAGCGGCAGATAAAACCAACACCGCCGCGTCGGAACTCCTCTCCACGCCCCATCAGGTCCTAGATCGAACCGCAGAGCGGGAGACGTTGCATGCTGGGCCACCGCCACCGCCAGCGGATCCGTGACCGTGTACACGCTGCTGGAATCCTTGCGGTTGATGTTCCGCGGGATTTGGTCCAGGAGGAGCAGTAGTGAGAGGGTTTTTTGCGGGCTTGTGGCGAGGCTTGTTACGGCTGCCGCGGATAGGGGGGATATTTTGGAGAGGGTGGGGCCGAAGTTTGTTCTTGTCAATTATGTTCAGGTCAGCGGGGGGGTGAAAGGTGGGGAGTGGGGGGATGAACCGGCAAGCCTCGTCGAATGCTGCGTCCGACTGAAACCAACGCTTCGTCATTTCTATGGATGGGTGATCGGGGACGTCCTTGAACCAGAAATCCAGGATGCGGGTGCTGTCTTCATCCGTGAAGAGGGATTCGGCTTCGGTGCTGGTGGACATTTTGCTATGGTAGTGCCGGTGGCGGTGTTGACGGTGCTGGTTGGATTTATGGCTGGAATGGGTACTGGTAGGCCTGCCGCTGCAGCTGCTTGCGAGAAGCGGGTGGTTGAATAGGGGCGAATGGGGTTTATATGCTCGTCGTAGGAATAGCATGGGGAATGTATGTGAGGTGAGGTGCTGCTCTGTTTTCGGTGGTGCGGGGTTGGTTGACTGGCTGGCTGGCTAGTTTTCTTTGTCTGTTGGCCTGGAGGTCCGGTGTGCAGCGGGGGGATGGATTGGCGGATGGGGTGAGTTGGTTAGGGCTTTCTACCCGGAATGTTATTGGTGGTTTGTCACGAGGATGCGCGGGCCTGCTGGGAGAACGTGGGGCGCCCTCGCTGTGCTGCAACACCGGTCCGGTGGAGTTATCGGCATGGCCTATGAGCTCTCGGCCGAGCCACACAGCGCTGTATTATTAAGTACATCAGGGTTTTGTCAGCCGCTAATGGAGTGATCAGTGATCACTGTTTAGTATTGCCCAGTGAACGATCTACGAGGACTTCTCTCCGAGATGATAAGATATAAGGTGGTGTAATTATACACGTGCGGTAGCTATGCTTCAATTTGGTAAGAAAATAAATCCCGGCCTCGCTACACCGACCGCTATACAAATAGAGTAGTCCAAGTCACCCTGTACTGTACAGTCTATACCCGCGTCACCTCGCCTCACTCGCCCCATCTCGTCACGCCGCCGGCCTCCCCTCTGCCGTCAAACTCTCACGTTGTTATACATCATATCTACAAGAAGCACGTGTAAACACCACGATGCATCGGGAAGAATACCGTAGGAAAACGCCATGGCATCCCTCATGAAAAAAGCTGAAAACTGTATACCCATACCATCAAAACACCTCATCCGAAGAGAAGAAAAGAGTAGGATCAATGCGCGGGTTGAGAGGGGTAAAGGGAAAAATAGAGGAGGTAAGAGGAAAAAGAAAAATAGAAGGAAAAAACTCCGCATTCCCAATCAAACAATCCTTCTACACCTAGTGTTTCTTATATTTGTCATCGACCCGTCTCTTCTGATCCGGGTCTAGCGCGTTCGTAACTCCCAATAATGTTCTGCTCACCGCCTCCGTAGCGCCTATCATGGGTCGGATTATGGCCACTGGCGCTGCTCTCGCTACTGCCTTTGCCGCTCCCTATGAGGTGTTAACACGTGTAATGGACAAGTCATTGGGGGTGAAAGACCCACCTGAGCACTCCCTTGTTCCGCGATATCGACCGGCACCGCCATGATGGCATCCCTCGCATTTCCAAAGTTCCTCCTAAGACTGTCGCCGGCACCTCGAAGTCCCTGGGCAAGAGTGAGCGGCTGGTCGGCGTAAAGGCTAATAGCTTTTTTCTGTCCATGTTCACTTGGCCCGATATCACCTTCCTCTTCGCTATCACTGATCAGGTACTCAATGCCCTCGGTTCCATCTTCCAGAATAGTGGGAACGAAAAGCCCTTCAGCATTCTGCAACATGTTTTGAGTTCCAACCGCGACTTTAGCGCCAAGACGAACAAGCTCAGAGGTGGTTGTCTTTGCGAATTTCCACGCGCCCTTCTGAAGCGATCTCACGATCCTGCCGTCCTTTTGGTACTCACGCATCGGGACAACGACTAGATCTTTCATGCCGCTCCCTAGGTTCACAAGGCTCCTCACGGGGGCAACACCGGCGAGGACATCCCCCAATTGGTGGGACCTGATATCCGGCATCCAGGTAGCATTCAACTCCTCGCCCATTCTGGGGAAACCGGATATGCCGAAAAGGACGACATGACGCAGTACCATGTCCGCCTCTTCGAGGATGAAAAAGTTCATAAATTCAGTCGTGCGACCAGAGCGAAGGCCGGTGTAATCGACCTTCTTGGGCTTATAGTCGAGCTTAACGCGGATAGAGTTCACCTCCACTCGCTGCAAGAAGGGAATTTCGGCCGGACTGGCTGGTGGGGCGATGCTGTCATCCTTGAACTCAAAGAACCTTGTCATGAAATCCAAAGTATCTTGATCAACATGTAGCCTTAGAGGTAAGATAGTGGCCTGATAGCAAATCAGCAGGTGTTTCGGGAACAGAAGGATAGATATGGTACACACCCTCAGGACAATCTCGCTCGCTGCCAACCCGGGCACTGGTCTGACATTCATAATTTCTACATGAACCATGTTGCTCCCAGTCTCTCTCACGCCCGCATCCTGCATGTAGGTGACAAACTTCCTCCAGGTACTTGTCGGAACATTATCGAAGATTTCAAAGTCCCGGACTCGCAAATCTATGCTGCTTTGCGTCTCGTCCATATCCGGCGGGAAAAGGAGGAAATCCACACACAGACCCTTCAGCTCGATCTGCATCTTGTGACTTCTTGACCGGCCGAACCGGAGATGCCTCCCCGAGCCTCTATGACTGCCGCCGAATTCCGTGTTTCTGGAGTGACTGGAGGGCCGCGACTCGGGGATACTGGTGCCCATAGAGGTCTCGCTCATGTGATCATCAAAGTTTTTACTTATTGCGCTTGCAAGATCGCCCGGACCCTTGTTGTTCGGCACTCCGATGTATATGGAATTGAAGAGGAAGTCTCCAATTTCGCTCCCGTCGTCGTCACTAGTATCGAAAGACACCTGGCGATTCTTCCGCTCCAAAGCTCTGTTTTCGAGGTCCCTTACAGCCTGATTGATTGCTTCTCTTGTCCTCTGCCAGTCGTAGCCGTCGTGCAAATTCCAAATCAAATGGACATCTCTGATCTTAACTCTCAAAGGAAAGTATTGAGCCATGCCATCAACACCACGGGAAGGAACGTATCTCTTTCTAAAAGAATCCCACCTGTTGACCGCCTCTCTGGTGGGTCGTTTGCTGGCTATAGACGCCTGGCGTTGCAGCTCCGATTGTTTGACGTAATCATCCACAATGGATAGTGGAGAATTGTCGAGAACGTGAACTTGCTCGGCAAAGCTAGCTAGCATACCTTTCTCGCCGACCCCCAATGGCTTGCTGCGTCCGGGTGCAAGCATCCCGAGATCTTCGTCTAGCATACTATCGGCAAGTTCATCCTTGCTATGGGCCGGTGCCCCCGATGTGCTGGATGGGGCATTATGGCCATAATAACTCTCAACAAATGCGAGATTGATCGGTACATCGTCACCAACCATGTCACCGTCTTCATCATCCATGTGGAACGGTGTTTCCCCAGCCCTTTTGCGCGACGGGTGAACAAAGGCATCTTCTGTCAGGGATTGTAACATTTCGACAGAAATAGCCTCGGTGCAATACTTGACCTCTTCTCCTTCTGGGAGTGGGGGTTTAAGTCCATTGACGATCGCGATGAGGGTTTGCGTGGAATCGGCACAGCTTTCCATCAGCAGCAGTTTATCATGAATCTCAAGATCCACGGCTTTTTCGCCGCCCGCACCGCCCATCTCTACTACACAGAGTGTAGCCATGGCGGAAGATACGCTGATGACCGAAACGTAACCCATTGCGGTGTATCCTACCAGGTGGCGATCGATCGATTCCCTGCGTCTTCTGGACCCATGTCTCTCGGATGGGGGAGCAAGATTTGAAACGTCGTCCACCACCATGAGGTTAGCCTTCTTGACTTCAAAGCCGGCACTGAGCATTCCGCCATTGGGCAGCGCAGCTTGTAGCCTGGAGTCTGTGAGAACCACTAAAGCCCGACTTTTGAGACCCAACGGATTAAGTCCGAGCACACAGTCTTTGAGTACGATGTCAAACCCTAACGGAGGGCCCTGAACGGTAAGGGCCTTCTCTTCGGCAATGTGTACAATGCTCTGAACCATCTCCTGTGCCAAAGCCTCAGCAGATGCGTTTTCCGGCGCCCGCATCATCGACATTAGGGTCCCAACCCTGTACTCCAGTCGGAGGTTCCAAAACTTGAGTTTGATGACGGGTTCCGGGTCGTCGCCGACCATCCTCACCATCAGCATTGGTTTCCCTTCATCACCCTTGTCGTAAATCCTCCTCTCAAGCCCTTCACCGATCAATTCCTCCTCCCCGTTCCGTCTCACATTCATCTGCATCACAGCGAGGGCAACTAAGCTAGGTAGGGAAACATGGGCAACTCCTATACTGCGCATATGCGCTTCGAGCAGCCCGATCCCGAGCCCGAGATTGACTTTTCCGTACAGGGAATCGATGTTCAATAATGTGAGGAGTCCAGGCCGTTCATCCTGCGCAACAAGTTCAGTCACAGTAAGAACTTTCATAACCTCGCCCCCCAGCTCTTTCAGCCTTTCGCCCACCCCGACGTCCCCAATCTCGACTTTTACCGCCCCGACACCAATCCGAAGTAAGCTACCTTGTTCTCTCTGGCGAAGCAACGTGTCGATTAGAATATCATCATCCGTCTCGTATCTATCCTTGCTCGGCGTCAAAAGCTCCAACAATCTGCCCAGGTCCTCCTGCTCCGGCGTGCCCAGGAATTCAACCCTTGTATTTTCAACCAGTATATTCGCATCAATCGGCACCGAAGGAGAATCCCAGGGGGTGGCAGGGCCATAGATAGCAATTTTGTCCATACTAAGGGATACGGTGCTCTGGTCGCTGGTTTCACTCCGTATCTTTAATGGGGAGGCCTCCAGGCCTATCGTTCCTGTTGTCCCGATAACCTCCACCCTCAAACCTCCAATTTTACAGTCAACCTTCGTGTGGACAATGGGTGGAGCCTCCGAAACGGAGCTGCCTCCATCAGGGGATTCGGGAGGTCGGCCCTTTGTTATAGTCGCAGTAGACGCGGAGGTGGAGGCTATAACACCACCAAATCCTCCGAAAGCGCGCAGAGTCTCTTCCAAGCTCAAGAGATCTAACCGGACCTTGAGAGGGAGTGTTATGACGTTGATTCTCTTTTTAACCGGGCTCTGGGATATTATGAGGGTAACGTCATTCTCAGGAACAGAGCTTGTTGTCGGGGGAGGGTGGGAACCCCGCCTCCTGGGCGTAGTTGCAATAGCGGGTGGCTGGACAAAGGATAGATAGTCGATTTTCTCGTTGCCCAAAGTAAACGTTTTGATATCGATCTTGGTTGTTGTAACGTTCTTTTGCAGAACCTTGTGCGAAGCCTTGATCTGCCGTAGGACGCAGCCCAGGATCAGGTGTTCGCTGGTGTCTCCTTCGGATCCCACTCCATCCCCCTCACCATTTTCCGTAATGCAGACACCAACAAGATTTTGGGCCACGCGTAATCTAATAGCACCAATCATAACCTCAAGACAGAGACCACTATCCGTAGACGTATCGGGCTTGTTTGTTGCCGGCTGCTTCTTTCCCTTGGGCTCTTCAACAGGCTCCTCCGTAAATGCGGCACAGAGTGTCTCAGAGATCATTCCGAGAATTTCAGCGGTCGCTACATCGGTAGCTATGTCAACGTTACCAACGATAACCTCGATATCCGGACGTGTTTCCCTGGACAGGTGATTCCTTGGGTGAGTCGAGCGATGAGCGCCCAATATACGAACTGCTGGTTTTCGTGGTGTGGGGCTTGGAGGGGACGAGGGCGGGGTAGCGGGCTTCGGGTCTGGGAACCTTGATGAGCGAGAGGAAGCATACATCGAGAAAGCGCCTGGAATTGGAGGATGGCTACTATCACCCAAACGCGATGTCTCCCTCAGAGAAGAGGTGGACTCGGCCATAGAGCCCGGCACCTCTGCTGGCGTGCCAGATTCCTCGGAGAGTGAAGGGAGGAATATCTCTATGGTGTTGAGGTCGAATATCTGCTTTCTCAGCAGACGCTTCTCAACTCTTTGATGCTCTGCCTCGGGAGCCAATCCAACAGTCGGGGCATCTGGCGACGACGCTGCAACCCCGGAGATGGACGCTCCAGCACCACCACTTAACAACTTGTCCAACCTAGCATCAATCTCTTCGTCACCAACTTCTTCTTCGCCCTCCTCATCCTTCCGGCGATCTATTTCCCCATTACGTTCTGAAGGTGGTGAATCATGGAGAACTCCGCTCGTGGCAGAAAGATAGAGACTTCCGGCTTCGCTATGTGTGAAGAGGGTCGATTCGCTCAAAAGTCTACTAGTCTCAGCATCCATCTCATCATCGCCGGAGCTATCACCATCACGGTCACTTGAGTACAGGTCTGGTTGGAATGCTGTTGGGCCAAGGTCCGAAACGAAGGATTGGACCGAAGCGGTGGGGAGGTGGACAGGGGACCGAGGCTGCTCAACGAAAAGAGTACCGGATGCAAACGCAGCACCGCCCTCATCTTCACTGTCTTCATCATCGTACTCGTCGGGCATTGTGCGCGGGGCCTGGGATGAAGATCTCGAGGGCAGGCGGACCTTGTTTGTGGAGTGGATTGGTGCAAAGGCGAGCTCTTCATCCGATGAGGAGTCTTCAGCCAACATATCACTGCCGGGAAAAAGGCTTCCATCAGCACCACCTCCCTTCCCCGCTTGCACATCTTGACCCGAACCAACAACAAATTTCCCCCGACTCTCATGGGTTGACGGATTCGACGAGTCCTGTGTAGCACTAGGCGAGGCCATCTTGGAATAGGGTTGCGGGGTCGGGGTCCGAATGGTACTGGTAGACGCCGTCATATTGTGGATGGAATTACTCTGAATGATAGTATCTATACTCTGTTCTATACCCCTCTCTGTCAGCTCTGACGCAGTCCCGAGCACAGCACTCGCTTCTGCGGGGGATGGCGATTCGAATAGAGAGGGGTCGGAAACGATATATCCCCTGATGTTCTCTAGGGTAATGCATCGTTTGCCCTCTTTTCTTCTCTTGGCCTTCATCTCGGAGATACCCGCGCCATCCGCCGGGGCAATGTTGGTGATCCCCTCAACATCCATATCCTCCATTTCAAACTCAACACTTATTTTATCCCCTCCCCGATGTTCGGGTGCCGTAGTTTCCAATGCTACCGTCACCCCTCTGATCCGGACCCGTAACCTATCACCGATGCCCTTGAAAATGTTTGCGAGCATGGTCGGCAAGCCAATGCTCGTCCCAATCCCCAGCTCGGGCTCCTCGTCATCCTCAGAAGCCGAACTGCTGGTGGTAACGCTGGAAGCGGCAAGCGAGTCCTGATAGAGTGAGTGCAGCAGCTGATCCTGTTCACTTAAGGGCTGAGAATGGAGGAAAGACTGGGCCAGGTCCTCCGCAGTGGCGGGTAAATCGTGGTCCTCATCCTCGTATTCAGAACCCTCCCCTCCATCCTCGGGGTCGGTGGAATCCCACTTCCCGGGGGAAGGTGGGGGCGTCGGAGGTGCCACCGGTACCAGGGAAACGATAGCCCTGACGTCCGACACGGCGATTTCTATCGAGCCAGAGACGAGGAAGTTTGTTGGGAGTGTGATGGTCAAGGTGCCGATCACGGCCTCATCGATGCGGAGCCGGGGAGGTATCGACAATCTGGCAAGTTGTTTTAATCTCTAAAAATATAACGGTTAGCGGTCACTCCACGCTGGGTGGGGGGCAAGTAAATGGACATGGGTCGTTGTCGGCATACATCTACCTTGATGCCGACATCCTTAAGGGTGAGAACCGAGTTTCTACCGAGAGAACCCTCGAAGTTTGACAAATCTCCGAGAGTCCGCTCCTCCAGAAAATCGAATCGACCGAGAATGTAGCGAACTATCCGTTTCTCCCACTGACTGGGCAGGGAGATTGGAAGCGAGAACATCATGGGGCGGCGGGGAACGGAGGCGGGAAGGTGGCAACTCCTTAGGCCGGCGAGGGGAGGGGGGAGGCGAGTTTCGGAGTGGGAGGGGAAGGAGGAGGAGAGGGAGGACAACAAGACGAGTATCCTACCACGGTGCCGGCGGTAGGTTGGGTTATTAGTGAGGGGAAGGGGGAAGGGGGAAGGGGATGATGGGGGGTCTATGGGGTGATTATTTATGCAGGAAGGAAGGAAGGTTCAAGAAGGGTAGGCGGTTGCATGGGGAGGCGGAAACATGCGACGGATTGGAGAAATTGTGGAAATAATAGAAATGGAGATAGAAAATGGCGAGAATTGGCGTGATTGCCGATTAGGGCTACCGCTTCAATAGAAACGAGGTGTATCGGTAACCTATCAAGGCAGTATCGTACAATGGCGAGGAGGCTGGCAAGTTCGGGGTTGAGCAAGCTGACAAAGGGGATATGTATGCAGAGGTATGATACCGTACCGCACAGCACGGCACCGCTATCCCACGATAATGCGTGTCGGGAGAGGAGCGGGTTGTCCGAACCACAAACGAGGGCCCGTCTGAGCCCCTCGTCGATTCTCACTTCCACCTCGCTCGCTACTGCCGGTGATGAGGGGGGCAACCAGCGGAACACATTGTATGGCTATGGCAGAAGGGTTCGGAGTTTCGCGAGTGCTCTATGGGGGAGGGGGGAGGGGGAGAAGGGGGGAAGGGGAAGGGTGTGAGTGTGAATGTGAAGGTATTCGAGTGGCTGGGGGATAGCCTCTACGGCATCATACGGTGGTGCACGCTGCGAGTAAGATCACTGTACTGTACTGTCCGCAGCCAGACAAACCAATCCAAGAATCCTGTGGTGTGGCGAGTGGGGTGGGTGGATGGATGGCGGGGAGGTGGGCGTGACAACAGGATGCGTGACTGGTGGTGATTCTCATGATTCATTTCTGCTGGAGATGTCACCAACAGCTGCGGAGGAAGCGGAAAAAGCATGGGTGGGATCTTCCTGAATCATCACCCATCATCATCACGGAGAGGTCATGTATGGCTGGCTGTGGGCTGATTACGGCAACGATGGCTCATCGCCAATGAATACATTCTACACGGCGATTCTCATGGCTCGCCCACGGCCCGCAGGATACTGCACCAGCGCTCGAGTATGATACTTGCACCGTACGGTACTGTACTGAACGAGCGGGACACTTCAGTGCCCTCCAAGCACGGTACGGCACTGTATTATATGATGCTAGCACCCATCTACCGGTAACCCATCGCACCGCACCAGAGGCTGGAGTCTGGGGAATTCGTCGATTCTGTATGAATGGCTCTGCCGGTAATTAGTCCACTGCTGGCCAGCCTTACCTGGACCGGTGCGTGATAATTTGTTCGCCTGGTGATGAACAATTCGCCGCGTTTCCGGGTATGGAGTGTACGGTGGGTCAAAGGTGTCCCATATCCTGGGTGCTGTGATACTCTGTTCGCTGAGCATTACGGCACGAACTCGCGCGGTTATCCATTCCCTCACAGACGCGTTGAGGCTCTCCTTCCCTCCTTCCCTCTCTCCCTCTCGTTCCCCCCCTTCCTTCCACCAAAAGCGTACTCGTGCTGTACGGTACCCGTGCTATGCCATGCTATGCTATACTCTACGAGACTATACCCCCACCGTAGGTTGCCTCCCGCAAAAAAACAATAAATACAGCTCGACACCCAAAACAACAGCAACCCTAACCCTGTAACAATTCTTCACCTTCTCGCTTCCGCGATCGCTAGATTCCAAGCCTTGTCGCAGCTCGTGCTTCTCTTGGGGTGGGCAAAGTCGAGGGAATCAGACTTTCCTTGGAAACCGGCCCGCACTCCACGAAGCTCCTCCTCACCAAGTATTCACTCTCGTTGTCCAACTCTCTCTTTTCCTCTCGCTCGGCTTCCTCCCCCAATTTCTCGCCCAGCCCCTCCGACAGCTCGTCACCTCTTTGCCCGACAACAACAACAACACTAGCCACGCTCCTTTCACCACCTTGTTTGTCGCTCTTGCTCTGACCGTAGCCAACAGCCGCACCTAGCAAACAACTCGGACTTTGGTCGAGAGGGGAACGGGGGAAAGGTAACTTTTCGCAACGATATTCTTCGCCAATGGCTCCCTCGAATCCTCCCCTGTTTTCTATCCCCTCCGATCCTTCACCCTCTTCCACTCCCTCCTCACCTCCGGCCTCGAACCTTCCCAGCAACGGTCTTTTCTCTGCCGCATCGACACCCCGGGGACCTCAGCGCGCCCCTTCTGGAAGTACCCTGTTTGCGGGCGCCACTCCGGGGCTAAAACCAACTGCGGGAAAGTTCGGCGGTTTGTCTCGCGCTGGCCCGTCATCCTTGTCTGCCCCTCTGCTTCCCTTTGCTGCCCCCGGGGGAGCCGGTGGGACTGCTGGCACCAACAAGATTCCTCAATTCAGCAAACCGGTCTCCGAATCGGCCTTTGCGGCTGCTTCCCCGGCAAATTTTGCACGTAAAGGGGGTGCTGGGTGGGGTGGGAATAGGTTCCCGTCCGCTAACGATGATGATGATGATGGAGAGGCTGGGTCCCCAAGGATATTTGAGGACGAATCACGGTGCGAAGAACCTACTCAACAGGATGATGAAGATATGGATGGGGAATACGAGGAGGAGACCGGCATGTTTTTTAACGGTGATGACGATGACGAGGCCGACGATTCCTACCATGTTCTGCCGGAGAGTTCGGCCGGTAAGGGTCGCAGAGCCCAGTACGGGACGGAATGCAGGATCAAACCGGGGATGGTCCGGGAACCCGGCTCTATGATCATTCAAACTGAGGAGATCATGATGGAATTGCAGAATCTTTTGTCACCGACTGCTCCACTGGATTATGATTCGGAGCTGGACGAGGAGGATATGATTATGGATGCTGATCGCAACGCACCTCTACCCCCTTCCAAGAGAGAAGAATATCTCACCCGCGCGGCGAGGCTTTTCCTTGATACGCTTGCATCGAATCTTCCCAAGGGCCAGGCTAGATCGCGTCTCCACAAGGCTTACTACCTTGCATCCCTGCTCTTACCGCTGCACCATTCCCGAGCGAATGCGGTCGAGACATTGAGGAGATGGCTTTACACGCACAAACAAGCTCCAACGAGAAAGGAGCTGACCGCGTTGAAGAATTTCTACCCCAATGCTATTTACAGCTTCTCGTACTGGGAGATTCTTCAGCAGCTGATCATGCGCGGTGAGGTTCAGGAAGCTATGGATTTGCTTCGCTGCACGGATTGGGATATGCTGAACGAGAGCAACAGCTCCGTTCCAAAACCAAAGATTGGCGATACAGAAGAGCCCACTTGGGATAGACGCTACAGCAATGAGGAAATTGAAAGCATCAAGAACGCAACAGCCTCCGCCATCAAGCTATTAAGTACCTGCCCCGGACTAGCCCGTTCATCATACGCCCCCAGCTCCGTGGGATTCTTCCCGGCAACAGGAACCTCCCACGGCTCGAAGGGCGATTGGCGGATATGGCAAGGGAAGGTGTTCGCTGCCGCGGAGGATGTGAGGGCCGGAGGCGAGGGCGACGGCGAAACTACGTTTGACGAAACTGACGATAGTTACTACGAAAGCTTTCATCCACGGAATGGAGGTTCATACGGTTTCGAGATTGGTACGGGGAAAACCAAGGAGAAGAAAACACCGGTTCCCGGCGAGGTCAGCAGGGGCCTTAGGGCAATCTACGATGTTATGAGGGGTGACAGGGAGGCCATTCTTTCTCATACCGAAAAATGGGAGGATGCAGTGCTCGCGACAATGATGTGGGGGGTTACAGATGGTTTCGGCGATCCGGATTCAAGTATTGGAGACGACTCGGAAGAAGAGGACGAGGAGGAGGAGGACGGCATATATGATGATGGCGCCGGGAAAGCCTTGAATCGAAGACGGAGAGAAAAGGACCTGGTTAGACTCTCAAAGGTGACGGAATCCTTGGTGGGTTCCGAGATGCCTCTTGACGCAACAAATGAACTCGAACTTGCTGTAGGAGCATGTCTAGTTTGGGATACAAACGTCGTTGTCCAAGTTATGCCCAAATTCAGTTTGCTCGTGGCCAGCGCTCTTATCGAGATGTGCGGCCATGCGGGGTCAATACAGAGGGGGAAGATCGGAATTGAAGAGAACGCTAGAGGAATGATGGATGGTTTCGATGAGGACGAGCTTGCGGTGTTCGGAATGGGCCGGGGTTTCGATGCGGAAGTTGAAAAGGCGGACGGTGTAGTCAAGGAATATGGGACTGGGTTGTTTGGAGTGGATTGGGTTGACGAGAAAGCGCAGGTTGAAGGCTGGGAGGTCGCGGTGGGGGTTTTGCACAGAGTGGGGGGTGGGCGTGAGATGTCGGGGAAGGTTGGCGATCATGATTCCTACTGGGATAACTCGAAGCTGACTGATCCGCCCGTAGTTACTCACCCAGCTGGAGCTGACATCGAAGGAACGTGTTGAGAAGCTTCTCACATACTGTGGCGAAAACAATCTCGAAGACGAGGCTTCAGAAATAGCAGCGGTAAGCGTTTCATCCAATATTGCCACACCGGAAAGGTCTAACGGGAGAAAACAGTCCTTTGCAGAACGCCTCTCGGGCACCACTTCCTACGGCGACAGCCTCCACTTCTTCGCCCTCGCCAACGACCGTTTCTCCCTCCATAACATTCTCACAAAGCTAACCACCTCCTCCCTTCTCCACTCAACTCCTTCACCCGCCCCCCCATCGCTAGACCCCGTCCTCTCCGACCTCCTGAAAACCCCGACCTCAATCACCTCACCAATCCTCCGCTTCGAGCTCTCCGGCTACGCCACCCTCCGCAACTTCTACGAATCCCGCGACTCGGGTGACCACTCCCGCGCCGTCAAGGCGCTCGTAGCCGTCCTAAAATCTGCCGGCGAAAAACTCGACGGTGGTGTCTACGACGCGGACTGGGACTCCGCCGTGGAGGAATGGATGATAGCCGTTCTCCTTGGCGAGCTGATGCCATACATCAACCCGCGAAAACGCTACCTCGGCATGCGTCAGGCCATGGAGGTGCTCAAGGTGATTACGAACTTTGAGTGCGTTCGTGGCGATGTGTGGCGACGGGCGGAGGAATTTCTAGAGCGGGTACTCGCGCATAAAGATTCCGGGGGTAGTGGGAATGCCTGCGAGGCGAACGGAATGACGGAGAGCGGGTATATCGCTGGGAGCATGGTTAGTAGCTGGGAGAGTGTTCGCGACGGGATTGATTCGGGGTTGGTTAGTGCTGATGCAACAGCGGGAACAGCCCGGCGAGCGTGGGACTGGAGAGAGGGCGCGGAGGGGTGGAAGGCTGCCGATATCATTCGCGTCGTCAGGCTCGGGATTGCGAAGATCGTGGCCGATGCTTGGCTGTTGGGAGAGTGAGTGGTATATATAATCTCTATCTGAGTTTGAAGGTTTTGTAATCTTAGTCTCCCTTTTTTTTTTTTGCCATCGAGCGAGCGTGGGAGATGAAGGGTTTGTTCACTTATATTATTAAATTTCTGAAATATCCTTTTTTTTTCTTCCTTCTCCCCTTACTGTCCTCGTTTTTCCATCTTCCTTCTGTTACATTTTAACCTTTTCCATTTTGTATCCGTCAGGTTAATTCTTCATGTACCGGTAGTCTTAAGTCACCTGCAACGCCCTCCCTACCTTAGAAGCAAAAGAAAATGATTATCATATGACCAGCGAACAGCAGTTCCCTATGCTATGATCCCATCATATCATACTCCGTTAGGTACTTGAACAATTTTCCCGAAATCCTACTCGGTCCCAACACACACACACACACCACATCTCCTACAGGCTATGTACTGTACAAGCGCTCCCCCCCAACCCCATTACCATACCAGCACGCGATCGTGGTCAACCCCTCACGCAGCGCCCCAACCATTCAAGCAAAACCAGAGCTGCAAAAGTAGCATTGCACGAGCAGACCACATCGCAGCGCGGCAACGAGAGAGGGTACCGGCCCGGTGGAAGATATTCCCTAAATTAGAGATCTCACTTGTTCCCACTACACCCCGGTGAAGCACGAACTACGATAGACCCTAGTCGGTGGCGATGCCCCCCACCCACCCATGGCAATGGCAGTAGAGCTCTCCAAGGATGTCCAATATAAGCTCTCTCTTACCCTTTTGGAAAATACTATGCTGTATTATGCCGGATGGTAAAAGTCGAGGAACGAGTGATGATTCATGACTACCTTGCTTTTGCTTGCTTGCGACTTATCATACCGTGCCGGTTGTATCATATCATATTCTGGGCACCGATCATCAATAGCCATAGTATCACACCGCACTTTAAAAATACAACCATCATAACCCCGCCCGTGAACGTCGCCTTTCATCACGTGATTATTATCTTTCCTCAATAGCACTGTTCAGGCCGCGGTACACACAATCTGTGCATAATACTCGTTTCTTCCCCTGTACGATATCACGAACATATCTTTCCCTCCAGCGAACGGCACTTTCCCAGCGAGTGTTTCGATAGATGGACAGATGGATCGGTAAGATACCTCTCCGTCGCTAACAAGCTTTATATGTATAAAAAAAAAGCTCGGGAGTAGGTCAGATGCTTATAGTGTTGCCAGTGGGTGGTTATCATGCTAGGATGTAATTTGTCTGTCGTTATTACTCCCCGCCCTGCTACTGTAGATATCAACGCACTATCCGATAACGCGTAATGGTATGATTCATCGTTGCGAGAGGTGTAGATGTGAGACTTGTTCGTTCGGGGGTGTGTTAGCCTGCTTGGGTCAGGTTGCGGGGATTGTTCTATACTGTATCTGCAATACTGGGTATAATTGTGTTATAAGAATGTATCGGTTGGTGAGATGTCTCTTCAATTGCTGATTTTTTTTTTTTGTAGGGGTCTTAGGGGTTAGCTTGGAGGAATATATATTGTGCATGTGGGTGGGTGGGTAGGTGTGGGTTATACGGGTGAGTATATAATTGTTGTACTAGTTAGGTACTACCTTTAAGATTAGTATATTATCCAAGTGTTTTCGTCGATATTTAGTCCCTTGGCGGTTACTTGACTTGAGTCGGGTTTTATTACAATATGGAATTGGTATATATGGGTCATATGAATGGAAACATATTCTAGCTTCAAGCCTAAATTATTTATGGTGCTCACTGAAATTATAACTCATCAGAAGCTTATCAAATCGTGCTATTATACTCTTCAAATGTGGTCAAAGGGGCCCTGTTATATATCCTGCAAATATTTGGTCGGACGGATAGTGACCACCTATATAGCATCATGAGAAGCACTTCATTTTCGTGGGTTATAGTATCAGGGCGCAACTGCATCCAGATCTGCTGATGTTGTATTGCCTGAATGCCGGGGCCAGAGAGGAGGGTTGGGTCCATGCTTTGCAGTGAGAGATCCTGTTTTCTACGTGTCTGATATGAGGGTATCCAGCCGGGGTGTTCCACAACGTGCCAAATCTACCATGGATGCACCCCCCCCCGGGCAGGCCGCTAATATTCAAGTTTGCGCGCTATTCTATCAACTGCGTGAACATGTCCTTGAGAGAGAGCTAGCAGCGGTGTGCAGCGCCGTTCTACCCTCATTGTTAATGGTGTTAACATCTGTATGATACCTCGGGAAATGAAGTTCTCTAGGTAATTAGTGGGGGTTGGGTTGCATGTGAATGGCATGCGGTGAGGTGTACTTGGGTATCGCTGTATAGGGTCGGTCTGTGTGTGCCCCTACTTGGGAAGGGGAATAGGTCTAGGGGCATGTAAGGTGCATTGCGGGTTATTTCGTATAGCTGGTTTATGCGTCTTGGCCCGACTATGAATGTCGGAACGGAAGTAGAGGCGCCTCAACAGCCGCGTTAAGGGTGCGTCTGGAAATTATCCTCTGCGGGATTCGCAATTTGGATCCACACCGGAGTGCAAGTGAGCCCTCACCGAGTTGGTATGGCGGGAGGTTATAGCGTCCAGCGTGGTGGGGGTTTTTTTAGCCGTTCCTTGCTAGCTCCCGTGATTAGGTGCGTTAGCGACTCCCCATCTCCGAGCTCCACTGAGATCACGGGGGGATGGTCAACCGCGGCACAGTGGTCGAGAAGTAGATTCGCCATCTCGATGCGACTACTCTTTGCGCCGCTCTCTAGTGAAACCTCTCGCTCCCGTGCCGCTAGAAGCGAGTAGGAATCGTACGGCATCTTCCAAGCCGAGCCCACCGCGGGGTACCAGTGCTGTCTTTTGCCTTTGTGTTTCTAGTTTAGCTACCAAGCACAGACTTTCGCTCGCACAGTCGATCGAAGCACCGGCTCATCCCGGAATTTGAAGATAATCGGATGTACCGGTACGAGTAGTTGAGATTATTCGCACGGTCGGAAGATGGCGATTGGCTACGGCGCGGTACGGGGCAGAGTTTGTGTCGCTATAGATTAGTGCTCGTTTGTGGAGGGTTAGTGTGAAAAAACCGATGTGAACCTACGGTACTGGTACTCGAGTACTGGTATTGCAGGCTCGGAGGAGGAGGCGTTGAGAGTGAGAGTGGGGAGGAGGTTCTGAGGTATGATACTAGAATTAGGCTACCAGCCAGTCTTAGACTCTCCCGTGGTACTGGTACTTCTACGATCAAGGTTTTATTGAGTCTTTCTGCCACACCTCGATATGATACAGCAATGATTTCCGAAAATCTTCAACCACAACCACATCTTTCGGAAGATATAGCTTCGTACAAGTGCTCAGAAGGCACTGTTCCATAATTCTATGTTTTTTCGATTTTCAATCAGAGCAATATTGGTGGACATATGATGGTAGAATTTCGAATTCCCCATGGATAACGTAGTCGTTTTCGAAGCGAATTTTGCCAAGCCCCGCTATTTTTGCTTTTATTATGTAAGCAAAATTAATTACGGTACCCATAGGGTGATTTCAGGTGCCCGGCACCATACAATAGAAAATTTGGGATAGTAAACCAGAAACGCTGTTAAATTTTGGATTCTTCCTTCTTCTCAAATCTTATCAAATAGCTATATGGACAGCCTGTATCGAAAATTTGTCTGTAAACTTTAAAATTCCAGGGTTGGAATCTTGCCAATATTTGATGAGACAATTCTGATTGATACCTGGTTTAGCACAGCAAGCAGCAAGAGCTCTTTTTTTATGTAAACTGCGTTTCCCTCTACAGTACCTAATTTGTCTCTGGGGGCTCCGGGAAAAACCAATAAATCAAAAAATGCCACTAGGTCAGGTTTATTTTTAAGGAAATGTTTGGGATTTTTCCAATCTTGCATGGTTGCATTTCTCACTTAAGAGTTAAAGCATTATTCGCCCAGCCATGAATGAAACCATGCTTTTGGCTAGCATAAAAAAAACATTGATGGCATTACAGGGAAAGTCCGGGATTCGCTGGTATTGTGTTTCGCGTGACGTGGTATGCTTGAGCAAGCTGAGCCTCCCGGATCTCGTTATCATAAGTGGTGTTCGAGATTTTGTTTAGACTACAGTACCGTACAATACTTGCTCATTTGAGCCTATTGCAGTCCGCCTGTCGCTTGTCTGATGATGGAATATTCGACTTTTTACGGAACTCCAGCGGTGTGGTATTGTACGGTACCGTACTTGGCTATTCCGGAAACCCTGTCGGTCCTCCACGTGCGGAGACATGGTTCACCACTGCATGTGCTAAAACAGCACAGTACTGTGCCCGACAAAAGTTAGTACTGGTAGAGGCATTCAGGCCGTGGGTTGGACAACGATTGTCCATTCAGCGAGAGACTTTGGCACGTGTAACGGCTTTTTGGCGTGCGAGTAACCTGGCAGATCGTCTCAAGACCTGGCAATTGAAAAAACACTTTTGCAACCACGGGATCGAATGCACCCAAAGTCCGTGAATACCTTGTTCCGGTTAACCTGCAAATTTGTCTCAGTCTCGTTCTCCCTGGTACCGGTGTTTAGCAGCCGGTGTGGAGGTTAGCAATGTGACGGACAGGGGCTACGTGATTAAGGCGTTTGCTCCTGTCAGCGGTAGAAACACAAGTGAAAGAACTTAATTAATTTGGGAGAAGTGTCGCCAGGAAGAGCGGGGGGTTTTGATTGTTCGAACCTCGTGCCCATCTCATCACTAGCCTCTATATTCGAGTACTGTACCGGTGCAAATGCCTGGTGCCGGATATCAGTTTAGCAAGTGGCCAACCTGTACCGGTGGATCCCTGTTCCATGGCTACGATCTACCAATACTTGGCGCCTTGAGATCTGTTATGATGCGTATTTCGTACGTTATCTCGGACCATCTGACGGTTGTAGATTGCGGCAGGCGGAGCCTATGGTCTCGAGTCTGAGGGTTTTCTCAGCGATTAGGCTAATAAGTATGCGAGAGATTCTCTCTTGATTTTTGAACTCCTTTGACGCACTACTGGTGCTGGGCATTGGAGCACTTTTCGGGATGTTGGCTAATGCCTAATAGTAAATTCCGTAGGAGTTACGGGCACTGAACCAGATCGTTCCGTACTAAGGCTTGGGGGTCTTAAGTATCCCGCCCCTAGTTCCCGCGTTCTGTCGTCCCATAGTTCGCCATAGCCAACTACCGCTGCTCCAAAACGAACCCTAGCCTCGCCTTCACGTGCTTAATGATCCCTACTCGGCCGCCATCACGATTCTCAGCCACTCCCAAACGAGATCGTCCTGGAAACCACCGTGCATCAATTGCCTGAAAACTTTGTCTA